CCATGGGCATCCAGAATCTTGGCGGCATCTTCATTGTGTTGGCGTCTGGTCTGGTGCTGTCAGTGTTTGTGGCGATAGGAGAGTTCATCTACAAACTTCGAAAAAACGCAGAGCATGAACAGGTGAGATTAATTGGAAATTGACGTTATAATGTGATGCTTGGCTAAGAAAGAAAATAACAATTATTAGTGCCTTTTAGAATTTCATCCCCACAACTGTAATGCTCTTGCAACTATCTAGAACTAAACATCAAAACCAATCCTCCCAGAACCCTCCCACAATACCCTAGCAACTGCTAAAAACACCCTAGCAACCACCCAGAAGACCATAGTGCATGCCTAGCCAAGCCCTTGTATGGTTACACTTGTAGAGTCACAGATTTTAGACATTCTGAAATGAAGACGTTCTGCATGCTGACTAAAGCTGAGTGTTCATTCACACCTGATAACATCAGGATCTGTTATTTGAGAAAAGAGATGAATAACCGATCGAACATCAAATAGCATAGCAAGCAAATCGCAAATCACTTCCTTTTTATGTAGACACATTTCACAGATAAGATGCCAGCGCTGGAGGTTGACATTTAAACCGCTTTGATCATGTATTTGAGTGTAAAAGCACACTCAAAAATGGGAATGTTTTTATCACACATCTCACCTCAAAATGAATTATACTCCCTACTGAACTGGAACATTGTGCTATTTTTTTCCCCACATGTTGGAGGTTATTTTAAGGATTGTTTTTGGTCTCACTGATTTAGAAGCAGCTATAGCATATTTTTTTCCTTGTCAAAAATGAAGAAAGCAAAACACACTGAAGACTGAATTATGTAAAAGGTAACAAAAAAAACTATTGTTCTGGTCAAAATAAACTTTAATGTTTAAACTGTATAAAAGAACAACACATAGAATACAACATAAAACTTGTCTTGGACATACAGTTGACATACCTTTGTGAATCTTTTATATAATACTATTCAAACGTTTGGGGTCAGGTTTTTTTTTTTTTTTTTATTACTCAAAATTGTCAGTAAAAACACATTTCAAATAAATGCTATTCAGTAACTTTTTATTAATCAAAGTATCCTAAAAATATACCAGTTTCCATAAAAATATTCAGCAGCACTGTTTTCAACATACGATAATAATAATAATAATAATAATAATAATAATAAGTAATGTTTCTTGACCACTAAATCAGCATATTAGAATGATTTCTGAGGGATCATGTGACACTGAAGACTGAAGTAATGATGCTGAAAATTCAGCATTGCATCACATGAATAAATTATGTTTTAAAATATATTAAAATAAAAAATATCTATTTTAAATTGTAATAATATGTCACAATTTTATACTGCATTGTTGATCAAATAAATGCAGCCTTGGTGAGCATAAGACACTTCTTTAAAAAGCATCGCTAAAAAAAAAAAATTAATAAAAAAAAAAAAACATAAATGTAATATGCTGACATGAACTACTGGACGTGAATGTATTTACTTCCTCTTTTCTATTTGTCCTCCCCCCACCATGTCTCTTTTTTTCCATCAAGAGGACTTTCTGCCGTGCGGTGATGGAAGAGATCAAACTGTCGTTCACATGCGAGAGACGAGTGAAACAGAAGTTCCACCGCCAGCCGCCAGCCTTGGTGAAGACGGACGCAGTGATCAGCATGCACTCTTTCAACGACCATCACCTGCCAGGAAAGGACAACATGAGCTGCAACACCGCGATGACGTCCGTGTTTCCATGACTTGCCTGGGCGACGGCCACCTGAGGCACGTCCCCGGCGCCGTGCCGGAGAGCAGGGACTATGGCCCCGAGATGATTACGGCATTCACCATCAACCGCAGAGACATCCGACACCAAATGGCCAGTCAGAACGGTGGCGGTAGCAGCAAACCAGGTAGCTCCGTGAGGTCAATCTAACGGACAGTGTTGAAAAACAAAGGCAAAAAAAAAGAAAAAAAGCATTTTGTGTTTTTATGGTGAATTATGTATCGATCAGAATAACTTCATGTGACTCGATGTTTCTTTGGTGAAAGCTCATTGTATATGTTATTCAAATTATGTGTAATTTTAACATTCTCTTGCAAAGTAGGGTATATATTAGATGAACAGAAAATGACTGTATTTTGCTAAATATCGATGATTTTTACCTGTCTTTTTTTTCCTCAGCTCTTTTCTTCTTGATAATTTGTGCAATGCTGTATCGAGTGTGGTACATGCATATTGTAATATAGGATCTACTTTTGAGAAACTACTGAAATGGATTTAAAGAACAATAATTTAAAGCCCCGGTCCCCAATTCCCTCATATTCAGTTCCATTCATCAAAGAGTTGATAGGAAATCTGAGTGATATATGTGAGGCCTCCAGATATTCTGCAACATAATGTACTCATATCAGATGTATATAAATAAGACATATAACATACTATTCAGAGAAGAATATGATGACCAGTACCGTGTCATTTTTAGCATTTCCCATGAACACTCATCATGGATATTTGGCTTATTTAATCATTGTTTCCCTGATTTCTCCCACAGTGTTCAAAAGGCTCGATAGGTTCTGTAGAAATGTCTACATTGTCTGATCACTTTCTCCTTTCTCAAAAAAAAACATATTCTTCAATGAATATATATCATAGTGCAATTCTTGTTCACTAAATTGTTTCTTTGACAGGTTGTCTAAATACAATATTACAAAACAGACCCCTTAAATGACATAAAGGAAGTTATATCATATAATAATAAAGAAAACAAAAAAGGAATAGTTCACCAAAAATGAAACCTGTCATTATTTACTTCATGTTGTTCAAAACCTGTTTTCAGTGGAACACAAATGGAGAATGTTTACACAGCTTTTTCCACATCACATAACATAACATAACATAACATAACATAACATAACATAACATAACATAACATAACATAACATAACATTGCATAGCATAACATAACATAACACATTGTGTGAGGAACAGACTGAAATGTAATTTGTTTGGCTTTCAAATCTCACTCTCCATTCCACATATCAATTTACCATAATTTATGAACGAATTACTGTATGAATCAATAATGACTCAAATTTCATTCTGTGTTATCATGAGACTTCACAGTTTTTATTTTTTTACTTACGTTAACTTATTACAATTGACAAATAGTGCCGCATCATTTGAGGGCTATTGTACTTGTTTTTGCTGCCAATTATTCATTGTTTATTTTTTTAAGAATTATATATTATTTTGCTATACCCTTAATGCATTGCACATGAGAAAATGTGACTATTTCTATGAAACTTTTAATTTAAATTAAGTATTTTCAATATAAATCAAATATTTAGAATTAGTATACAAAGCTTTTAAAATGACTAAGCTTACATGTTTTCTTTTAAATTTGTTGTGAACTAATATCAATTATTAACTAAATCAATTCAGCTGATTGGCTTTGATATAGCCATACAGCATTTATATAGTCTTTCAGCTGCTTTCTCGAGCTTTTGCAGCAGTATTTATTTCTGCTTTGTAGATGTGTTTAAATTTTGATATTTTTCAAAATGATCTCTCAGTCCTCCACACAAACATGAATTCCACCAACTCTCTCATGAGAAGTGAATCAAACTGACTCTCTCCGTGTTTCATTTGATTGGCTGTTCGGTCATTCATACTTATAGCTGCCCGTATTCCAGAGTGATTCATAAAAGTGTTCGGGTTGGATTTAAACTTTAATACATACATACATACATAAATACAAACATACATAATTTATTTATTTATTTATTCTTCTTCTTCTTATTATTTTTTATTATTTATTTTTATTTTTTACAGACATGGTCATTGTTAGCTTTTATTGCAATGGAAAAGAGCAATGTGAGTATTTTTTTTTTAAACATTATAAAAATCACATGAAGTTTATTAAATAATAATATTCAGAATAATCATTTTTGTGTGAACTATTCCTTTACTCGAATAGGAGTTGTCACCTTGTGTGTAGCACTTTAAGGATGTTGGAAAATACATGGTGGTAGATTACAAAATTATTATTGAATTAGATGAAATCATATATTTACACTGTGACACATTCATTGTAATTAACAACTTAGTATCGTTTGCAGCAGCACAGAGTGAAGACCATATTTATCACACATGCCTTTATATCTATCTGATGAAAGACCATGAAGTATTCATTTCTATCTGTACGAATTGCATTACATTGAAAATGTACTTTGGATATTGGATCAATCAATCCTATTTACGGAGCATAAACATCTATTTTATAAAAAAAAAAAAAAAAATTTTAAAAAATTGTATGAAACAAAAATAAAATGAAATAAGCTTTTACACATCCTGTGTTTTGTTGATATTTTGCCTGTGGTCTTTATTCATATTCGTCCATTTGATTTTCCACTCTCTGTCAATTTTCTGCTCCGTCTGCAGTGGAATAATGTAAGAAGGTCAGTTTGTGGTCTCTTATCGGCTGCGCTGAACACCGAGAGGAGTGTTTTGGAGAACTTTGGCATGTGTGGCGTGTTTTAATTTGCTTGTAGCAGGAGCGCTCTGTGAAGTGAGCGTCCACCTGAGCTCAGCAGCTCTCAGATACACAGACTCACGCTAGGAGAGCATTTCACTCTCACTTCAAAGAACAACAGAGCAGCAGTGTGAATTGCTAAAGCCCACGTTTGTATAGTGTTCGAGGAAAGACACAATGTTCTGAGGCGTCGTATATGAAGTTGTGCAAAAGGAAGATCTAATGCATATATTTATGACCACGAGAACATTTAAAAGTATACTTCATTCATCAGTGTAAATGTTGTCTTGATTTACTCAAAGCTGCATTAATTTTTCTTCTGTGAAACTCAATGAAAAATATACTGGCTAGCACACACACAAGATTTACTGGTAAATTACCGTTAAAGTCCTACTGAAGTGCACATTTTTAATGTGTTGATGTAATTTCCACTGAAACAGGAAGTTAGGACAGGACGTGACAAGTGGCTTATATCTTCTAAATACAAATTTCAAATGTAAATTGAATATGGTTAAATGTAATTTTGTGGTAATTTACTGTGTGGAAGTGTCTTGGTAAATTACCGTTAAAGTCCTACTGAAGTGCACATTTTTAATGTTTGTGTTGATGTAATTTCCACTGAAACAGGAAGTTAGGAAGGGACGTTACAAGTGGCTTATATCTTCTAAATACAAATTTCAAATGTAAATTGAATATGGTTAAATGTAATTTTGTGGTAATTTACTGTGTGGAAGTGTCTGATTCATTTGCATTTATTGATTTAGCAGATGCTTTTATCTAAAACAACTTACAAATAAGAAATACCGGTATTTTTCCATGTAATCAAATCAAATGACCATTGTTTAACTCCAAAGCATGATATTTCCCCACAAATCAGAGCTAACTCCACACCGCAGCAGTTTCTAAAGATTTCATTGGTCATTTCAGTCACTGTGCTGATTGACTAAACAACACTGAAACAAACTCTAAATCCTAATCGTAACTTTAGTATAGAATTGGTAGCACATCCTGATAGATAAATGAGCAATACATGTTCAAATAACATTTTATTTTGAGTGAAAAGAACGTTTTAAGACGTTTTAGGGACATTTAAATAGTTATCACAACAAGAAAGCAAGACATGCCCACATTTTAGAATGTCAAAAATCAGCGTTCAAATAACGTTTTATTTTGGGTGAAAATAAAGGTAATATAACTTTGTAAGAAACATTTTTTAAACCTTTAAATGACATTATAATTACAACATGAAAACTGGACATGTCGTCATTTTAGAAACATTTCAAAACAAGGTTCCCATAACATATTTATGACTCAAATTTGTTGGATGGATGGATGGACATACAGACAGACAGATAGATAGATAGCCTCATTCACTTTCATTAAGCAAATGAGCAGCATGAGCATTTTACAAAGCATCTCCTTTTGTGTTACATGGAATAAAACATCATACAGATTTGGAACATTATGAGGGTAAGTTAATGATAACAGAATTCATTTTTTTGTTAAACCACCCTTTAATCTTCTTATAAAGCCCATGTTGTTTGCTGTCCTGCATGCATCAGTAACCCAGGCATGTAGGCTCTTCTGTCTCATGTGAGCATGAATGAAGATTCACTCGTGTTAATTTACCATCAAGTTGCCAGTGATAAAATGGGGCAGCAGATAGACAGTTGGAGTGAATTTAACCTTGACTGTGAGGAGATTTCAGACGTCGCCCCAAACATTTCAGGGAGCTCTGGGATATGCAGTGCCGGGTCTGTGAGTGAATAATGAGCGAAGATAAACTCCCTCATAATGACGAGATTTATGAACTCTTCCCCATCAATTAATCCCTCAGGGCAAGAAAAGGCCACAAGAAGAGCAGACAAAGAGAAGATAGATAGATAGATAGATAGATAGATAGATAGATAGATAGATAGATAGCAATAATAATTATATTTTAAGAAGATGTTCTGGGAAGCCTATCGTATTTGAGAAAGACCATCAGTTTCTCCACATGACCTTAACTTGCGTGTGACCTTGGCCTGGTCCGTGTCTCTGCAGAGTACTGCTGCAGCTGAGCAGCCATGCATCACTGACCTGTTATGAGTTAAGCCACTACTCACTGCATCTCTGTGGAATCATGGGTGAAAGGTGCAGTTGCACTGAAGCAGAGCAGGAGGTTTGCTCTGATAGAGGTGTTCACCTTGGCGCAGAACGTGACTGAACCGGAGATATTGTTCCCAGCAGGGCTGCAGATGCTATCCTCACTGCAAGCCTCCTCAGAGCCGGCAACAATAACTTTTGTACCCAATATAGTGTAGAGCAGC